GTTATATGCTTTCCTGAACACAAAACTAATTCTTACTATATAGGTTAACTTACTAAAGGTCCTCATCTTTTTCACTCATAAATATGTACTGTTCAATGTGTTGCTACTCAACATTTTTCATAGAGTTACTGCTTATGTGTATTTTAGGTTTCAACCTGTGTAAATTTCATCCATAAAATAGCATCTATTTACTATTCTATGAAAAAGTGGTTTAAAGGAAAGCTTTTGGAGGAATTTTGGCATGCTGTTGTATTGTTTTCCAAGCAACAGTCTTGACTGCATTTTCAGAATGATGAATTACAGTGCTCTGAATAAATTTGACAAATTAGAGCTTTAGTTAAATAAAATCCCAAACTCTTTCTCCTTCCTTTCAAGAAAAGAGAATAATGCTACTTTTTTTTTTTTTTTTTTTTTTTTTTTTTTTTTTTAATTGACTGGTTACATCACTAAGGAAAATAATTATATTTGAGTTTTAATGCTATTTATCAGAATTGATGAGATCTTAACTCATCCTCTGCTTTAGCATCCACATATCATTAAGTCAGTATAGCACTCTTTCAATGGGATCACAAAAGGAATTCAGGAGAAAAACAGTGCAATTTAACCAACTGCTATCTTCTCATGTGTATGTCTACACTTCTACTTTAAAACTGAACCAGTAACTCCAGCTGTACATCACTGAATAACATTTCTGCATGAAACAGTGTTACCACTTTTGCTGCTTACACTTTTCTGTACAACTTAACTACTTTTATGCTTCACTGCACAGAGATCAACGCTTCCTGGCTGTCAAAACATACCAATAAGTAGACATGGCTTGGAGTCAGATCTTTTAGGTAAACATCAGTGGGAAAACAAGCCTGAGAAAAGCAAATCATTGAAAAAAGGGAAAAAAGTAATGATCATTCAGAATATTGCCTCACAAATCTCTGTACACAACCAGGTCCCTGTAGAGTATGAAATGGAAATGTTGAAAAATATTCTAAAACCTCACTTGAGATGTTAAATACACAGTCAAGAGCCCTTAAGATGTGAAGAATACTTTTGGACAATGAATTGAGTACAAGCTGAGAAAACCACAACTGGCTGAAACCTCAAACAGAAATAGCTAGAGCAATATAAATCCTCATATAAATAAAATGGTAAATAAGGTTTTTCAGCCTAGGTTTGTTTTCCTTCTTTCCTTTTGTTTGATAACATTGTCAAGCAAGGAGCAATGTTCCAGTGAACACTGCTTTATAAGGGTGTGGTACTTGCTGGGAGTTTAAGATGTGAGAACAAATATACACCTCCAGAGTGCTTCATCATGCAGAACACAGCAAATTCCCACCTGTTTTGAGCAAAGCTACTGATATGTTTTTCATGCCTTATTCCAGTCAGCAGGATGTGGTCAATGTGCTTATTTTTAATAAGGAAATGTCACTCTCAGCTCCTGAGTTGCCTTTCTTGGGGGACAGCCCCTCTGCTACTGATGGTGGAAGGATAACAAGGTAGCAAATTGGTCTTTTCTACATTGCCTCAGCCCAGTCATTATTTGCTTCTTAAGACTGTTTTCATAAATGCTAGAAGTTTATTCATTAAAAACAGTTGCAAACATCATTGGTAATCCTTTCATTTTTGTGAACAGAAAACATGGTGACTGTTGTGCTGCTCAACTAATGGCTACTCTGAAACCCACCAAAATTAAAGGAAATCTTATTACTGACCTAATGGGTTTTGGATCAAGCCCCAGGGTAATCATTTAGATGTATACACTAATGCACATCAGAAGATACAAAGGAATATAAAGACTCATCATAAAAACTGCTTCTGAAGCTGTTGAATTGCTTTTTCCCAGAACAGTGAATCTGAGAAATAACAAAGATTAAAAATGGTGAGATTTACCTATTAGGATCTGCTACTACATCTATTAAAATTAATGTCCTGTATACAGTAAAGAAAAAAATGTAAGTTTGCATGCAAATGGCAGGGCACAGAAAGGAACAGGAATAATTAATATTTGCCAGAAAGGTCTAACACAATTCCCTGGTGAATATTTCATTTTGTAGAGAGGCCCTTTGCAGATCACAGTGAGACTGTTGTATGGGGTATGCAGCTTCCACAAACATCTGTGATGTTGACAGTTAAAAAAAATCCGTGTTAAATTGGATTTAAATTTGTTCATGGCATTGGTAACAAAAAGTTTTACTTGTTCTATCTGTGAATATAGTGGGAAGAGCTCAGGTAGGGAGGGCTGACAGTGGTGCTTGACAGCAGGAGCAGAGCCTGGTTCTGGACCACCATCCATGTGCCCTTGCTGGCTGGGTAAGTTACTGCCTAACTGTTGCCTTTAAGTTATGAACTGTCAGGATTTTGACTTACAGTATTATGGCTAAGATGGAACAGAAACCTCATAGATCAAAACATCTGTTTATCTTCTATAACACTGTGGCAGCATGGCTTTTTCTACTCAGTAAATAATGACACCAGCAAAAAGGCATATTAAGGTGAAAGCTCTTACTGACAGTTTCTGAGTAGTGTTAAATTTGAGTCAAATGGGAAAGCTTCAATTTGCAGAACAGAACGATTTCCTGCAGTAGTATGATTTGTGTATGCTTCTTCATACATGCTTATGGCTATACTCACCTGCTTTCAGCTAAACCCCAGTTTGTGTGTGAAATAAGAGGGCCTGCGTGAGTCATAAAAAGATCCTCTAAGTCCTTAAGAGTTGTATGTTTCTGAATATGAGTGGGAAAAAGAAAGAGAACAGAAATAACACCAGAAGAAAAGCAACAGGAAGAAACAGAACAAGGAAACAAAAACAACAGAAGAATGTGTAAGCAGGGAAGAAGTACTGTGCAGACATTGCAGATGCTCTTTACCTTCTGTAAGAATCATCCTACAAAATCTGTAATATGCTGGTAACCAGACATGGAAACATAAGAGCTGCTTTTGTGCATGCTGGAAAGGGAGGATTCCTAAGCCTACTAAGCCTTACTTCCCTTCCACCCAAGTCAGTAAAATAGCAGAGAAATTGGAAGAAAAAAGTTATTTTGTGAGTCACCTAGAAAATAGGGCAGATGTTTCTCCACAATGTAATATAATCATAAAGAGAGAAAAAAAACTAACCATAAAGCATACAAAAGATAAGAAAAAAACGTTGATTGTCATTGTCCAAATGACTACAGGCCATCCCACTGTCAGCTCACCAGAGCTGTCCTGCTATGTTCTCATCAAGAACAATACTGAATTACAGATTTTCCTGTTTCTTATTAAAATATTCAACATTAAAATCATCACTGTAACATCTCTTTACATACTCAGTGTGGTCACTTAGTGTCCTGATGTAGCATTTGAGAATGTACTAACGCGTACTGCAGATGTAATTTAATCTCTTTAATATTTTTTTTTTTGAAATGTAATTTGATTTAAGAGGAGATACAAAGAAAACAGTTACATCACAGCATAAGGTCTTCCAAGCACTTCTGCCTATACAAGAATGAGGGAGATAAACCAGCAGCTGTGAACCCTTCAGTACTGCTCAGATAGCAGCTGAACAGCCCGGCCCCACCAATGGCCAGACACAGCTTTCAGTACAGAGCTGCTAAGGTACGTGCTGATACCAGACATACACTGTTAACCAGAGCAGCTTAACATCAGTATTGCAGAATATCCCCAAAGACAAAAATAATGCTAATGCATCAAACCAAAAAACACTCCTGTGAAAACCGAGGCAAAATGACTTAGAGTTTGATAGAATTCTGAAAAAATGAAGCCTAATTCAAAATGTCTCTCTGATAATCTGAGGAACATTCAAGAGGGGAAGAGCAGAGCTCCACATAGCCACTACCTCAGCTCTCTCCGTCACTTCCAGGATGCCAGTGCCATGTAACTCACCATCCAGGCAGTTTTACTGCCGTCAGCTGAACCTCTCACAAGGGAAAGCTGATAGATAATTCTTCCAGAGCTGAAGATACTTTTCTGAAGGTACTTTAGCACCTCTTCATCTGTTGCTTCAAACCTGCACAAGAACAACCAAGTATCAGAGATGCAATGTGAGCTATAGACCGAGGGAAAACCAGGTTCCCAATGAGGCCTCTGGCACTTAGTACTGGCACTGACCTGACTGTGATGCTGGTAACACCAGTGGTGAGGAACCGAAGGCTGCAGGCTCATGCTTTCTGATAACATATATCCCAAACCTAAAGCTTAGAGTAATATTGCTTTCCCAAAGCAGAGATGAAAATTCATCAATAGATTCAAGAACCACAACTATCTCTCTAAACACACGGGACCAAAAAGCCCATGCAATATATTTAGTATCTACAAGACAGGGTTATTCTCCCTAGTTTCACACCTACACAATGGAGGAGCAGTTGCTTTCATTCACTTCATATCAGCAAAGAACCTGGATGTCTCAGGCGCTGAACTATTCTAATAATATAGGAAAAAACCTCATTATTATTATTTTCCTTTTTTTTACTCATTCAACTTTTACATGCAGCCAGGAGTTAAAACTCTAAAACAGGCAACTGCAGATCCATAAATTAGAGGAATAAATGTACACCGGATGCTACCCACCCACATGCAGCGTGGCAGAACTGCTACCACTTCCAAAAACGCTCCCATTGATGTACCCAGCCTCTCATACACGGAAACACACCTGCGTCCCCTGACTGCACCCACCCTCTGAACACTCCTGTTGCACGGGTCTTTATGCCCTCTCATTTGCTACATGTAAAGAGCAGCACGCGGTAATTTCCCCCCTAGCTGCAAACATCTGCACCGCCGCTCGTCCAGGGGCCGTCCCGGGGCGGGAGGAGGCGGGGCGGCGAGATGTGCCACCCGGCCGCTCCCGTGCCGCAGCCTCGCGGCTCTCGCAGTGCTGCGGGCCGGCAGCGGGGCCCCTCGGGGCTGCGCCCGGCGATGTCCCCCCGGTGGCAGCCTGGGCGGCCCGCGGCGCGTCGCTCGCTGCCGGGCGGGTGCCATGTCCTCGCTGGTGAAGGAGGACCTGGCCAAGAGGCTCTTCGGGCCGCGGCGGCTGCGGCTGCAAGAGTTCATCGAGGTGGAAGGCTCGGGCGCGGAGCGCTGCTACCTGTGCGCCGCAGGTACCGGGCTGCCCGCGGTGGGTGCGGGGCGCGGGGTGCCGGCCGGCTCCGCGCTGCCCGGCGGCGGCTGTGCCTGCTGGCGCTGTCCGGGCTGCTGTTTCCTCCTCCTTCCTGAGAGCATGAGTGCTCTGACCAGCGGGGAGACTCGAGGATCTCCGCACAGCTGTTGGTAAACGTGCTGGACGTGGCAGCGCTCGGAGTGATTGTTGGAAAGAGGAATGCTCTTTCCTCTACTAGGAGGTTGTTGATTTTTGTAACGTACGTGTAGCGTAACGATACATCCGCTTTGCAGGAAGTATTCGTCATTTTTAGAGCTTTTGTGCTATCTCTTGTCGTACTTTAAAGTCCTGCATACTGCCCAGTTACTTAAGTAACGATTAAATGGGCTTATGGCTTAAACAAATACATGTTTGAATTAGTAATTAGCAAGAACCGTGATTAAAGCAAGATTGTGTGACAAAATTAATTATTTGGCTCTTTACTGAATTTGATTTCAAGTGCATGTGTTTCTTAGTGACTTTAGAACATGGTTCTAGGGCTGTTTGCGTTATGTTTTTAATTATTATTTTTGTACTAGTGGAAGCTGATGGAAAGAGAGAAATTCTCATGCATCTTGTGTTCAGGAAACATTCAGATGTTGTACCAACGGATGTGATTCAGTGGGAAATATTGGTGACAGGTGGGCAGGTGAACTAGATGATCTTGGAGGCCTTTTCCAGCCATGGTGATTCTATGATATAAGCAGTTGGGTTGAAGGGAATGCTTTTTGCAGTCTGTTTCCTCTTGGTGATCAAAACACACAGAGCAGATAGAAATCATCTCTGTATTTCAGAATTTTTTTGGCCAATATGGGATGATGGCAAATATATTCTGTGATCCTTATGTTTGAAAACATCTGAATAATTGTATTTTACAGGTTAATGGACATACTGAGCAAGATCTGTTCCCAACAGATGTGATTTTAGTAGAAGAGATTTTATATTTTAGAACTGCAAAAATAGTTTTAAGATATGGATTCTTGAGTATTGTAGAGCTTCTAAATGTACAAAAATACAAACCTGATTCATAGTTTACAAAACAATTTGGTAGAAGTGTGATTAGATTTGGATAGTAGAATTAAGCAGTTTGGTGTTAAGAAACTTCCGAAGAGGAGAAAAAACATTTGCTATCTATACAATTTTAACTAAAAATTTCTTCCTAAGGTAGAGAAGAACAAGCCATTAGAGAAAGCCTCTAATCAGCTTGACTGATTGATTGTCACTGAAGACATAAAGGAAAATATATGTAGAGTATCCAGTGTTAAACTCTCTTAATATATTCAGGCATATTCAACTGAGTAGTGAGTAGAGTAGCACTCTAATTCTGAACAATGGGTTGCACTCATCTGCCAGCAGTTACTGTAATCTGCTGTGATTCTGTACTCTCTAAAATCTTATCCCCACAATACATCTTCACTGTATTCCTCTGTATTTCAAATTAACATAAGAGAAAACAAAAACAGCAACAACAACAAAACCTAGTCAAACCACACGAAGGCAAATGTTTAGAAGTATATACCTTTTCAAATCTGTATTAAAATGAACTCTTGGCATGGATAACTTCTTATTAACAATCTTATTTTTGTGCCATATGCCCAACCTTATTTCCCTTCCTTTTTTCAAAAAAGCAAATCTAGGTTTTTGTGTGAAGACAAGAGTATCCTTTCATTAAATGCTTTCTTTGTGAGCCCTGGAAGAATGCAAAGCTGAAATGCAGCTACATTTAGGAACTTTCACAAGTCTGCATTGGTCTGCCTGAGAGCACTGGCAGACTAACATCAGACTGTTCAGTGGAATGGAGAAAATCCAGAAAGGTCTTCAGTCCATGGAATCATTAAGAAATAATTTGTGCTCTTGAGGGCACTGTCATAACCATCTCTGCCACAAGAAAATCTTCGAGAGTTCAATGAGTGAAATGGTAGATCTGAACTCATGTTCTTTATCAAAAATATAGTTGTCTTTAAAATGTCAACTGAATTCAGGACCCAGTGATATATCTAAAATGCAGGAAAATTAAGATTTTATAGGTGAAAACTGCCCACCCAGGTTTCACCACTGAGCAGAACGTGCTCCTGGTTTCATTATTCTTACTGCAGCAGTTTCTTAAACACATCTGCCTCTGTCCTTATTTTGAACAATTTCTGTTCTTACATGAGTGATAGAGAAATGGTAGTCTGTGGGTCTCAGAGGTGCCTAGGATATCTATTTCTGAAAAGACTGTGGGCTTTTGGGTTTAAATTTGTTTTCTTCTAATTCTGAGGGAGACAACATACTGCTTCACAGGGCAGCAAACAAAATGGGAGAAAATCAAAGTGAAAAAAGCACTTTCTATGAGAAGCCTACTAGATGCATAAATGAAAACATTGATCACAGAAGGTGAACAACACACCTGTGATCTTTTGATTAAAAATCATTGTGCAACTATGACTGTTAGAACCAAGGGGAAAAAAACAAACAAACTAGTGGTGTGTGTTTCACAGCAGGCTGTTTGAGAAGCCGTGCGCTGAGGGAATTACAATTAATTTAAACATTTTCCTCTTTTTAATTTGCAGTGGAAAGAAGCTGGATAATCCTTTGTTTGTCTTTATTTTTTAACCATCTTATAAAAAAAAGTCAGAAGCAAAGCATGTTTTAACATAAATAAGATAAATCTAGTTGAGTTTCAGAATAGATTTTCAAAATTCCAGGCATAATTTAGATAAGAAAGAATCTTGGTCCTTCATCTGTAGCATCACATTGTGTTGTCAGAGGTGACAGTTAGAGTGATCAGCTGCGTTAATCTCAAAGCTGGCTTGGGGAAGTGCTCTGCCCAGCAGCTGGTATGCTGGATGTGCAGAAGTTGTTTCAAGCTGCAGTGCTTTTCACACTAATTGTTTCATGTTAAAGAAGTCTGATCTTCTACACAGCACTCAGTGTAATCAATTAATAATGGTAGTTATTACAAGGAATGTCTGCACGCTCTTTTTATTCTCATTTCCTGTCTAAGTCAGAAAACAGTTATTTCTACAAAGACAGCACTGAACAATGTGAGGCTTTAAGAAGTATTTTCAGTGTTACTTTGGGTAAGTGACATAAATACATTTGATAGGGAAGTGAGAGTTTTGTTTAAAAATAAGTCTGTAAGAGAACGTCATCCTCAGAACAGAAAGCAGTCATACCCACAAGAGCCTTGGTAGTGATTTGGCAGTTCTCTGACTTTAGTACCCCCAAGGATTCACTGTCAAAGTAATCAGGATACGTGGATTATCCCCACGGTTCCAGTGCTGGAGTTGGGCCTTCACTGCACTGTTGGTGAGTTCAAACCAGAGGCTTTTGCAGTGGAAAGATTGCCTTTTCACAGGATGGGGAAGCTAAACACTCGATTTGTTTAAGACAGATAGGTTTCGTAGGCTGAGAACACTGGCCTATTTCTACTCATACTGTCATTTAAATTATTATTTTAAATGAAGTTTAAGTATTTTATTATTAGAACTTTGGGGAAGTATTTGCTTGCATATCATAACTATTTTTGTCTTGCAGTGTCTAAAAGTGAAGAAGTAGAAATATGTATGGTAAAACACTTTCGAGATCGAGAAGAGAAATATGAAGTAGTTGAAAAGTGGTTTTTAAAAGATCTGGAGATGATTGATGGAAAAGAAGCAGATACTGTAAGTGTTATGTATTATTAAATACACAGAATATAATTCTATTATGTTGCAAGTTGGAATACAAGTATTGAAATGCATTTGAAGGACATTATCTGATTATCTTTTTTTTTTTAACAAAACAAAACAAAAAGCCTCCATGGTTTTTTGAGTTTATTGCATGCGAGAGGGTCCAGATTGCATTTATATTTATATTGCTTGAGGTATGGGGAGAAAGAGAGATTTTCTTGTTTATTTTAATTTTCATCTCTCCTGTTGAGATCTGAGGGACAATCTGGATGTTTTCTCATTTGTTCATTGTAACTGGGAACAAAAATTCACAACATGCAATTCCTGGTGTAAATTTGAATTGAGATCAGTGTATTTGAAAACATGTTTTTGGAGACTCCTTCCATTTGAATTTAGGATCTTGTTTGTACAACAAAGAGAATTTGTATCAATATGTAAAACATCATCTTTCACATAATTTAAATTTCATTCACGTTACTTGCATCAGTTGAATAACCGAATCAAACAGCTTTGGCCAGCTATGATTGATATTACTGCTAAAAAAGTCATTATCTCTCAGATTCAATTACAGAAGGGTAAATGAGGCTGCAATACAACATACAATTTTATACAAAACACCAAAAGTAGAATTAAATTCTATTTTACAGAAGCTATAAGAGTGCTTTGAAGATAATGTCTTACTGTAGATAAAGTGTTATAACAGGCATCCATGCATATAAAATGTCGTTTCAGAGAAAATTACTTTTTTACCTTTCATGTTTCAAATGAACATAAAATAGAGTTGAGATTATATTGTCCTGATGACATAGAAATCAAGAGCCGACAAAAGGGGCGTCAGAGTCTTGATTCAAGGAAAAATGACAGACTCCAGTTGTACTCATTCCATCCTGACAACTGTTCTCTTTTCAAAAAGTCTTCCACAGCTCCTGCATGGGCAGCCAGCCACGATCTCTGCAGCTGTCTGCAGTCCCTTGTGCGTTGCTCTCAACTCTAAAACTAGAAACCTAAGAGACTGTGGAGGTGAGATCAGATTCAGAGTATCCACGAATCACGTGAACTCTTTGCAGCTTAAGCCAGAGGGGAAAATAGCCAAAGCTAATAATATTTTATGTACTCTCCAAGTTATCTTGCAGCTGGAGATGTTCCTATCCCTTTACCAGATAAGGCAGCCAGAAGATTACTTACTGTTTGCCTACATGGACTCAGTAACTTTCAACTTTTTTTTTAAGGTTTCTTTTTTGTTTGTTTTTAAAAAACTCAAATATTTTTCATCAGAAATTATTCAGCCTTCCACAACTAGGATGTTCAAAATCTTATTTTTGGTTACAGAAAAGCATAGATGAGCCTCAAACTCCTCATTACACAATGATTAGCACTGATATAAATATTCATCATATTGCTATTCATATCCATGGAATTTAATATAACTTAGCTGTTGCTAGTATTAATTGTGCCAAGAGCTTGAAAGCACATAAAATTACAGTTTGGGCAGGAAGAGCAATCAATATTCTTCTTCTGACAGGCAAGTCAGAAGGCAAGTGTGTTTTAGGCAACATGACAAATTGGTTCACTTCAAAACAGCATTGTATAATCACAATAAAGTGCAGTGTCTTCCTTAGACAAACTCTGAAAGTTTTACTTAGGCAAAACTCATAATGGCAAAGAAAGGCAGCTACTTATAAACAGTTAATTAGTAAAATTTTACAAGACTCTTTAATAGGAATAGCAGAAATACACAAAGTCCATAGCTAATACTTTTTGGAATCCATAAAACTGAGAAAAAGAAACCCTAAAAGTAAGTAAACAGAAAACAAGAAATTGCCATTCTGATGTCTACAATGCATGTAATAATTTTGTTCTCAATTTTTTTTAGGATAATCCATATTTTGATATGCACTTTCACGAAGTCTACAGTATGGAGGCATACAGTTGTGCATCTAAATACACCTTTGCTCGAACGCTAAGCAATCTGAATGAAACGTATCTTAAAAAGGACTTGAAGATTGTGAACTTTGATAGCACCTACCTAAACGATGATTCGATCTGGTCATCCAACAATAGGGATTGTTTAGTACTTATGAGAATATGCTTCTATGCTTCCAACCTTTTATGTCTCTCCTTGTGTCCTTTGTCCTGAAGATGTATTTTATAACATTAAAGGGACTGGTTGATTTTGCTAACCAGCATTTTATAAATTATCTGATGAAAATAACAATAAATGATACGTGATATCTGCTTTTTAATTTTACCTATAAGTCCACAGAGGAACCTCTTTTTTTTTTAATATCCGTCTGACCATTAATTTATATGTGTTAGAAGGGCCTTACTGGCAAATAGAAATACATGAGGCTTTCAAAAAAAAAAAGGACAGTGATTCCTAAGTTCAGTGGTGGTTGTTAATGTAAGATAAGTTTACAGTTTGCTATATGTTTATAGAGGTATAAATCATTTTTCATGAATAGCTAGAAATATTGGTAAATATTTTAAGAGCATTAGCAGTTCATTTACATCCTAAAGTAGAAAAATAAAACAAGAAAAATGAATTTTGCACAAGAATGATGCATGTTTTCATTTTTCAAATGTGTTGAAATACAGAACTCTGTTAAAGAGATCACACCTGCATAAATACATGAATCAAATACTCATCCTGATGAAGTATGGAGTTTTCCATTTGTGTACTGTGGGACCAGTTTTTACCTATGCACTTACAGTGATTTTTCCTCCTGAATATCAAGTGCTCCCTTCGACCTTTCCATTACTTATGATATTGTCATAGAAACATAAAATGGATATTTTGAAGCAGAATTATTTTATTTGTCAGACCTTTGAAATCTTTTTTTTTTTTTTTTTACATCACTAGTGTTTCTTTCTTGCAACTTGTTTATGTACATGAACAGGCCTGGTTAGGGAATAGCACCTGTTTATGTCTCTTCTCTGCCTCAGGACTAAAAGTTAACAACATTGTCTCACTCCAATTTATAGGAGGGAGAGGAGGTTCTTTTATTATCTGTATATCCAGCATGAGATTAAGAAGCAACGGTTCAAATGTTGGTCCGACCAGTTTATTACAAATCTTAATTAGGGAATGTGGAAGGGGAGGACGGACACTATTATGAATTAGGGTAATGGGGAAGGGAAGGAGGGCGATAGAAAAGAAGAAGCAAGGGGTCTTTATAGGAAGCAAGAGGGACATAGTCACCACCATGGATCCAGCGTGGTTCATAGTTCAGTCTTTGATCTTCAGTAGTGGTGGTTCGGTTCGTCAGGCAGAGTTGTTCTATTGATGACTGCGAGAAGCATGATGAGGATGGCCCCTTTTCAGTGCTTGATAGTGGTTGAGTCAGCTCTCCTTTGAGTGGCAGCTTCTGGCTCTGGGATCTCAGCAGAAACTCCTTTGTTCCCATCTTCCAGGCCTTGCCAGCAGATAAGAGGGAGCAGGGATGCCCATCTGCATCCTGTTTCTTACAGAACACGATGGTATCGTTCCCCAGTTTTCCCACACCTAGCTGGAGCAGTTTAGTCACAGGCCAGATCTTCCGCCAGTGAACACTGCTGAGCATTCTCATCCGCTCTTCTACAGAGCAAGCAGCTCTGGGGGAAGGGGCTTTCAAATGTTCCCAAAGCGATATCGACTGTCACACAGTTAGCACCCATCACTTGCCTCCTTAACAAATCATTCAGAGTCTTATCACAAGAAATACCTCAGGAAGCAAGCTTTGAGCCAAAAAACAAAGAAGGATTCACAAACATACTACTGGAAATCCTATATGAACAGTAGTTTTTGGCGTTTAGTTACAATTACTTAGTAGGTGACTGATGGACTTCTCAAAAATCATAGAATTATGAGAGTAACTTTCATCAGTGTCTAGCTACGTTAGCATATTCAGTGCACTACTGATGTGTGTTAGTATTTACATTTGCATTGAATGTGGGGTGGATTCTACTGAATGGTTGGGAAGATCTCACCCATAACAGAAAAATAACAGCTGGACTTGTGACAGTATAATATTACAGTAGAAATGCAGGATGAATTAAAGCTGTATTGACCAAGAGCTGAAGAGGAACAATTTCAGCAAGAGGCACAGTGATATTTCTTGGTGTCACCCAGGTGATCTAGCTGGCTACTCCCCCCCCAGAGACAACAGAGAAAGCAATGCCATCCCATTCTGTGCCATTCTGGTCACAACTTCCTGCAGGAGAAAATTCACTTTCTCTATTGGCAGCCTAGAGAGTACAGAGAGAGTAGCTCTAGATTAAGCCAGCTAAGTACCAAAGTTGATAAATGTAAATAGCTCCCAGAAAATCACAAGCTGATTAATGTCCTCTCTGAGTAACTGCCATCATGGTTTTTTTGTGGAAGGAGATCATGACTTGGTCTTGGGAGCCTTTCACATGGACTCCCACCTTTGAAAACATTTGTGCAAATGTACTTTGGATTCAAAGTTGAAATAAAATCAAATAAGTGAGGGCATATTTGAAAAACTGTATAAAATGTACAGCGTTCTACTTTTCTTTTAAAATGTTAACCTACTGCTTGTATATAAAAAGGCCATATATTTGATTATCTTAATAAGTTACATATTTATTCCAGACTTATCTTGTAAATTACACACATTCTAACACAAAACTTAATCATTATCTATACCTTGACAGTTGTGAAGGCAGTTTATATGGATTAACACTAATTTTCAGCAATTTTTGAAAACTTACAGCTTACATTTGTCACCTAAATATTGTTTGAGAGAAGGATTGTATTTATAATTATTGTTTAAGAAATGCAGTTGTTCTTACCAAAATGTCTTTGAGATAACTCAGTCCAGCATTTGATCCATCATTACAAAAAGTATTTCCCCAACATCCAGGCTGTACAAAGACATTTTACAATAGCATGTATAAAGCAGAATATCGTTATATATTGTGCCACGTTGTCTTGTTTGAATATATTATTGTGAAGTTAACAATGTTTTCTGTGAAGTCAACAAATTCTTTGCTTACTAGGCACAAGGAATTATTTTATGGATGAAAGAATCATTCATATGGTAATAAAAAAAGTAGAATCTCTAATAATTGATACCTCAGAGCATTCTTTTGAAATACAGTTGCAATTGGTGACTTCCTGATCTGTTGGTGCTATATTTGTCTTTTTTCTCCATACTTGAAAAATAAGATTCCGCAGATCCATGCTATAAACAAACAAAAAAACCTCAACAATCAACCAACCAAACAAACAAAAAAGCATTTTCAATATCATTCACATAATATATTTCCATATCAACAAAAAAAACACAGTGAAGGCACTGTTTAGGAGTTCATGAACCTCAGATAATTTTCACCAAGACCCTCTTGCTCCAAGCAGAGGCAAGAGTCCAGCCCCCCTCAGCCTGCTTGTGTTTATCCTCAGTTCAGCCTGTTTATCACCCTCCCCTGTCTGGGCCCAAAGACAGAGCTGTCTGTCTGCCCATGCAGCCATGCGATACCAGGTGACAATTTCCCTCTCTGCTGCATGCATCTCAGCCTGGCAACCTCTTCTCTCAGTTCAACTGCTGGCTCAAGAAGATCATCCAGTTCTGCACCCATGACACCCCTCGTCTACCTCAGTCCCGTGGGTGGCCCCCATATTTCAGAGCTCCCTACAGTCAAAGGTTTGGACAGCCCTCTTGCTCCTTGGGAAGCCCATCTGGGTGCACAACACACCCCTTGGTCTGCGTTTCTGCCTCTGGCTGTCTGGTACACTGGGTGCTCCAACTGCCCATGCAAACTGCTGCACCACACTCTCCTAACATACTGCACCCTCCTAACGTTCCACGTGCTCCTAAAGTACCACGTCCTCTTAACGTCCCACATCCTCCTAACATACCACGTCCTGTTCGTTCCGCACCATCCTGGCCATTTCAATACATGTAGGATATGATCCTGCTGCTGCTCCTGGCCCAAGCCTCTTTACTTTCCAAGTCTAAAACTTGCCACAGAATAAAGTGTTTCTGCTCAGATTTCTGTGCAATGGTATCTCCAATGCCACAGCAGGCCTGCAGTGCGACTTGGGCAAGAGTTGGGTCTCAAAACAACTGAGATCCAGCTTGATGAATACTTCACAGTAATAGCATGGGCAGCTCTTTTTGGAGGCTTATCGACCCAATTTGATTTTGAAGGCAGCCCCTTCTTAAAGAAGTTGTATTGAGTGACATGGACAGCTGTAGCTTTGGCAGACGGATGATGACTGTTCTCCTCCTACACCTGCAGTTGTGCTATTGACAGTTGTGATCATTTTGATCTACTTCTGGGTGCTGGGAGGAGATCTGCAGCTGAAAAGGAAGCCCCAGGAGTGCCATAGAACATGAGCTGGCACTAATCACACAATCATGTAATCATAGAGGTTGGAAGGGACCTGTGAAGATCATCCAGTCCAACTAAAGCAGGTTCTTCCCAGTAGGTTGTACAGGGAAGCATTCAGGTGGGTTTTGAATATCTTCAGAGGAGGAGAGTCCACAAGCTCCATGGGTAACACTTTCCTGTACTGTCACCCTCAAAAGAAAGAAGGTTTTCCTTACATTGCCATGGAATTTCCTCATATGATGCAAACATTAACAAAGGAGCTATAACATGATACAAGGGCTCACCCCCTCTCACTTTGGCTGGAGATTTACATCTTGAAACAGGCAGCTCAGGCTTTTCAAAGAAACCCACTGGCTTCTCTTTAGGGAGACTGTCACTGTTTGGAAGTGAATGTAACAAGCAGAGTGTAAATGAAACTCTCGCAATATCCCACTGCATCTCTGATCCAACTTCTCTTTTCTCTTGTTGATCCTAAGGCAATAGAAGCTCAGAGGAGCCTTTTCTTCCACTTCCAAAAGTGTTTTCAATTACATTATACCTGTCCTGTGCTGTCTGGGCTTAATGCTATTTTAGAGGCAAAGATTTCAACCTAATTCCTGCCTATACTTCCTTTTGGTGCTCTTACACTGACTGTTAGGCATTTGACAAGTACTGTAGTTTTATTCTAACAATTTAAAACTATGTAAAGAAAGACATTTCAATTTTGGAAGGGATACAAAGTCGTTTACACGAGAGCAAATTCCCTTACCTTGGAGCCAGCTCACTTCAGCATTATGCATGTGGGAACTACTCGAGGCTGCCCCACTAGCAGCAGAAGCTGCTGTTTGAAGATCAGCTCTGCAGAGCTTTCCCATGGCACTTTATGGAGTGGGACGATGATCATCTGCGTTCATTTATGTGCCAAATGTCTTCATACACATCTAGAAGTAAATGGTTCCCCATGAGTGCACACCAGAGCATCATCATCCTTTCACTCCTTGAAAACAAAAACATCTATTCAATAACTAAATAGTTGCCATCCATTGCTTCCAAAAATAAAACTGAAGTGAAAAAGAGCCTTGTGCATCAGCCCTGTGCATCTCTCCAGCTGTTCTCCAGTTTGGTCTTCAGTGTGCTCTGAAATTCCAGACTATGTACTCTTCACTAATCACGCTCTCTCTTGGGTGGCTGTTTACCATATCAAGTGCCACTCATCTGGATGTGATAATGGTTTTCCTAGGAATTATTTGTTAGTAATAGAAGTGCACTCATCTGCCTCGATAATCTGTAGAAGAATTAGAAGGAATAAACGGTAGTAGCTTCTAAGCAATACAAAAATAAGGGGAGACCTCATCGCTGTTCACAACGACCTGAAAGGAGGTTGTGGCGAGGACGGGATCGCAGGTGGCAGGATGAGAGGTAACGGCCTTAAGTTGCACCGGGGGAGGGTCAGGTTGGATGTCAGCAAACAGTTCTGCTCAGAAAGAGTGGGGATGTATTGGAACGGGCTGCCCAGGGAGGTGGTGGAGACACTGTCCCCGGAGGTGTTGAAGGAGCGTGCAGATGCTGCATTTAGGGACGTGGTTAGCAGGCACTGCGGGAACGGGTCATTGGCTGAACCAGATCTCAGAGGTCTTTCCCGGCTGATGACTGATCTGCGATTCTACGACTCACACCGTGCTGCCGCCCCGCCCCTGCCCGC